GAACAGATCGAATCAACCAGCTTTAGAGTGAGCGACAAGGTGATGGGAACGGCTATATGGCGAGCTGAAGGTTGGAAGCTGGCAGCCGCAAGAGTCTCCGGAGTCAGTGTAAACATGGTCAGAACGGGAAGCTTGCAGAATGCAGGAAATAAGCAAATGGCGGTAGGGCCTAGGTAGTCATTAATGCAACTTGCCTCGGTGCAGATCTCAAAAATAAGTATTATACCCAAGTATTGTTCAACGTGCTGTCTGCCCGTCTAGCGAAAGTGGAAAGTGCTGGCATCTCGCTTCGTACTTACATGAGGTAAATGTACGGATAAAACAGGCGAGAGATCCGAAGGTAGGTGCGTCGAGGATGAAGTACCTTCTCGTGCCTCTCAGTCTGTTAGTCGTTTGAGCAGACGGAAGGATGCAACTTGGTCATATATCAACAAATGCAGGACGCTTGCGGTGTCACTGCTCTGGCTGCTTGAGACTTGTTCAGTCCAAATAAAGTTGACAATGCAGTCGCCTTATGGAGGTCTTTGTTCGTTAGGTATGGTTAGCCAATACGGAGGAAGCACACAACCCAATTGAATGGAAGCTAAGGCACCCGAGTGAAGGTAAGGAAGCCAAGGTGGTTAGGCCACAGGTGAAGTTAGGTAAGGTAAGGTGAGGTGAGGCAAGGTACCTTAAGGTAGGAAGGGACGGGACGGTCCTTGCCTCCGCTACTTCCCCGACTCAGAAACGTGCTTGCATTTGGGTGCAATGTAAGTGACATGAGGGAGGAAGTACCTTACCTACCTACCTTACCTGACTTGAGGTGGTTACCTACATTACCTTATTCTTGCTGTCCTGCCACTTGCTCAAAGTGGTGATGGCGCACTAGCGCCTGCTTGCCTGCTTTCCTCCTGCAGCATAACCTGGAAGGTTGGTACCGCCTCTTACCTTCCATCATGGAAGGTACCTTAGACAAGGCACTTTGAGGTTTCAAGGTGCCTACCTAGGTATTCGCTTGACCTACTGGGCTACCTCAGGCAGATACAACCCCTTTGTCCGAAAGCGTCGCGACTTGGCATCTCAACGTCCCTCCAGGTGCAAGTGGCACTGTAAGCGCAAGCACCTCTTCCATTTTCCTCAAAAAACCTAAGGTAACGTAAGGTATTCTCTCGTGAGCTTTCCTGAAATGAGTCGTTGATTCATGTAGCCTTAACTCAACACCGGCCTCCCGGCTTCGACGTTAGAAAAGGCCTGAGCACACACCGACACTCCGTACTTCTCGGCCGGTCGGATGAAGAACCTCAACCATGGACGTGTCGCCCGGCACATGAAGCTTTGACTTTGCATTCGGACCACCCGACCCGGTCTGCACTCCACGTGACGAAATCGGTGCCGTACCTGTGAGCGGAGATGAAGCTCCCTTCCATTCCTCGCCTTTGTATCGGTAGCTGCCTCCCGCTCTCACATCACCCAGTCACGGCAAACCTCAACACTTCCAACTGTCGATTCTTGCGTCCCTAGGTGCTCTTTTCTCGCTGCATGCTGCCATTCCACCACGCCACTCGTCTGCTTCTCCCACCGTCGTTGGTTCGTATCTCTGCGAGGGGTAGCTTCTGGACCACCTGGCCCGCGCCGGCAGTCCCATCCACATACTTGGGGGTCACCTTGACCGCGAAGTGGGTTGCATTGCCGCCGATGCTCGATGCGACTTTGTCATAACCTCCGGAGTACCCTCCGGCCCACCACTACGTTCAACCCCGGGAACCTCAGCCAAAATCTGATGAGGACAAGGTCGAATTGTCTCGACCGACCTCGCAAACGTCATCCATTGTACGGAGTAGACCCCTCAACAATTCATTAAGGACTGGTCAAGCGGACGAAGGTCTGGAGCACTTTCAACGGCGCTATGGCCGCCGAGCTGCATCTCGGCCAGAAGCCGCTCTTCGCTGGGGGTCCGACAAGGCTCGTCGTTCCGCAGTACACTGCACTAAGGTATTTCCTTGCCAAATGTCCTCAAGCAAATCACTGAACGCCACGAATCGTTAGACCAAGACCAACATAGTCAGCCTCTGCTTTGCTGCTCCTCTGCACAAATCTGCGGTTGGCATACGTTGCAGTTGACGATGTTCATCCTCACCGGGTGGATACATCCACTCCATGGGCCGATGCTGGTACCCGACTCTCCCGTCCACCAGCTCGGCCCCTGGACTTGACCGATGTGCAAGGTTGTCCTTGTTCCGCCGGAGACTAGAGCAACGGGACATCTTCCGTAATCACCGGAGCATGCATGCGCAGCCGCTTCATGTACTATTATGGGATGCTGAAAAGGACCCGATAGCTAAGGTAGGTTTGAACCGACTCAACCAAAAAAGAAGTCCGCGCAGAATTCACTAATACAATCTGTAGGCCCCATGTCCGCCTAGGTACCCGAAAACTCTCCCCGCCCGTTCGGACACGATCGCATGCTAGCGCATTGCAACCTGTCTTGTTCAGTGCCGAGTGCTCAGCAGATCTCAAGAATCGGCAGAGAAATGGATCATTATGCTCTTCTTCCGGTCTTACGCATTGTTTAGCGTCGCCCCGATCAGTTCTGCGACCCGTTGGAACTTTATGGCCATTGCAGTGCTCTATTTAGCCTGCGAGGCAGTCTAATGAGATCTCGGCAAAAAAGATTCCAGCCAAAATTTCTTTAGTACGGTAGTACTCCGTTATCATTCGTCAATCCGCAAATCGTCACCGGGCTAATTATGTGCAGCATAGTCTGTAAGCGGCCAACACACCCTGTTCACGAATCATCACCGCTCTGGCTGCAGCTTGGGGAATCGATACTGTGGTACCCGACCAAAGTATGGATACAATGTTGAACATCGAAACATAGCACGAGGCAGAGCTAGACACACCAATGGCTGGCAACCTCCGACGGAAATGGGCGGTACGGAATAGCGCTGGGGTTCGTGGGTTTGGGGGCATGCCACGGCACATAATCTCACTTGGCTATCGCCTGGCCTTGCTGGGGTGAATCCACACACTTTCACGGGTCGAGTCTCTGGTCTGTCGAGCGACCATCCACAAGCGAGGCTCCCGACTCACCGGTTGCCCATTCGAGCTTAAACTCTCCACGGTCTCCTGCGTCCCACCAGAACTTGGTGTTCCTCGTCGTTAATGCCTGCTCTGAAGCAGCAAATTGCAACCGTGTTCACTGTTGGCAGGCCGATTTTGTGCATCTCACAATCACCGAGGCGTGGTTCAGGGATCCAACTTTTGCACATCCGCTCTGTGTGGCCATCTCGCAACGCTCTTACTTCACTTCGCCTCACTCGACTGTTACGGCGGCCTGCAGAGGAACGTCAGACGCTGATTTGATACGAGACCGTTAGCGGGTGGTTCCCTGACCTCATCAGCTGCATCGACAGAGGCTGCCATCATTGGTGACGCCCGCGCATGCAGGGCTTTGCTTTCGACAGGCGCTTTTACCTGTGAAATGGCCGAATTTGTTGACCGACATATTTTCTCGAGATGAATGTCAAAAGTTTGCTCTCAGCCGGGACACCAATTCGCAGGGCCCGCACGCAATGCACCCTTTTGACCTACGGCTGCTGGGGGGATCGACTTTTCGCGGCCAAGACGCCGTGCGGCCGTCGACTTTCTGCGACTGCGGGTATGCTTGCAGTTTCGTAATGGTAATTAGTCTCCAACATTGGCTGCTCGTGAGCGGATTCTATGGGAATTTCGCCTTTCCAACAACAATCCGCCTCTCGGGCAACACGCCAGGACCAGGGGCTGCGGGGTGGTTAAAGGCGGTCAAGGCCTTTTTGAGCAAACATGGGGCTGTCCAAAGTGCGTATTCTGCTGCATGCTTCACTTTCTGACAGCCGGCAGGTTCCTTTACCGGCGCTCCGAGGGGCGGCCCAACAGTACGGCCAGGCCTAGTCAGGCCAGACCGTGGTGGTGGTGTTGGCGGCGGTGGACGTACACCCGGTTACTGGGGCAGAGCGGCTACATCATCGTCAAGAGCTGAAGATGTTAATTTCACTCAATCATGTGCAAGCTACAGGCTGAATCGACTGATCGATCGACTGACAGGTTTCTGAACGGACCAATCATTTTGTTAGATGAACCAACTGGGCTGTTGACGACCCAGAACGAAAACGAAGCTCTTCACAAGAAATGTTTTCCTTGCACCTTACGTGGGACGGGTTCTTCTTCATCTTTTGTCCCGTCCATATCCAGAGGCGGCACAGCAAGTCGGGTGTGCCTAGCATATGTTCGTCAGCTTTCTGGAAGCACTCTCACTCCCGGAAAAGCGGTGACAATCTGTGGATCGGGTTGAATACGCATTGTCAGAGGGGGGGGAAAACCACGAGGCTGTTCTTAGCCAACCTTAGCATACACACGCATCCCTAGACTTGCAGGCTGCTCGAGCGATCTAACTAAACGAGGGTAAGTAGGCAAAGGGTGTCAGACTCTCGGGACCGTGGCGCATTACAATGGAACGTCGAGAAGCACAGAGGTTATATCGGAAAAAGAGACGATTAGGGAGCCAAATCTGGGGGGTTGCGGCCGCACGCATGGTGGTTGGTTGCCTCGGCCTTTTGGTAACATGGCGCACATTGCTAGCCGGGCGATGGAAATGTGATGACTCCCAGTCCTAGATCACGTCGTCGCCCGCATGGGATCTTTCATGGCGCTTCACGTAAGCACACGCATCCGAATCCACATCTCTTGGCCAGACAGGAGACAGGACAGCCTTGGGCATCCATCCGCCTCCCGAGACCAACCGATCACCAGTGTGTGAAGTTGTAGCGGTCTTTGCAATCGTTGGCTAGCAATCGTAACAACCTTCGCCGTGAGCAACAGTCAGAAGCATCAGCAGATCCAGCATCAGAAGTGTCTCGACACTTGATTGGCCTAGCGTTTGGCCCTTCCATGCAGACGAAGCAAACGGCACCTGTTGGTTACACAAAAAGAGGCGGAAGTGAAGGCCAGAAACAGGATCAGCAGCGCTCACAACAGTCGGTTCCATGGTGTTCTTTCCACCACCCCTGTCGCCTTATTCCCATCAGACGGGCAGCCTGAAATCCATCCACTCGGCAGGGGCGGGAAGATGCTCGGCTCCTCTTCTCGCGTGGCGTGGTCTCAAGAACCCCTGTCCTCTCATGAGTACCCCTCAGACCGGTGAAATACAATTCAGCACGGGTGCAGCCCACTTCCTCAACTTTCCTCTCACCGAGTCTTCTCACTTCAGCCTCGACTCCTTCGAACTGACCGACCGACCGACCAGCACAGGATACGCCAATCGCCAGTACCAGAGTCTCTATCGGCACGCTCTCTGATTCTAGCCTGCCAGCGCGCGCAACGCTGTGCTCCACCGAAGGAGACATCGCACAAAGCAAACAACGAGAACGACAGCGTCTCGAATTTGCGCCGGACGGGCGAAACATCCAGGCGACTAGGCTCAGGCCACGGCCAACAGTATCTGCGACATCCGTCAAGGCCGAGGAGCAACGGCTGCAGAAACCGACAGAGAGAGACAGCGGCAGCAGGAGTACCCCCCTCAGAGAAAAAAGAGAGTGAGGGAAAGAAAAAAAAAAAAGAGCAGAGCGGCATACGCATACCTCCAAGCACAAGCACGCACACGCACGCAGCAGCAAGACTTGCCGTCTTTTCCTTTGGTTCATCCCCCCCCAGTTTCGGCCGAGTGTATGCTGTCAAGCAGGCCTGTCTGTCTCTCTTCACAACGGCATTCTAGCCTGACTCCCTACCTCCATTTCCACTCCTCTGTATTCCACGCCGAGTAGTTCTTCCTCCGCCTTTTGTTCCTGGCCGAGTCATCAACCCTCCTTTCCTTTCCCCTACCATACCCTCTTTCCTGTACTCCACTCGCGCACAAGGGGTGCCATTATGTGGCAATGGCTCTCGTGAGACCGTAACTCCCTCCCCCACCCCCTCCCGGTGAGGCGCAATTTTCTACGCTCCCCTTGTGCTTCGCTGTGCCTGCTCACTCCTACTGCTTGCTGCTTGTCTCTGCCGTATACCTTATACAGGTCACAGATTGTGGTACTTGGCCTCGCTACTAGGCTCTGTCCAACACACCCTCTCTCGTTGCATCAATCATGGTAAGAGATGTCCCTGCTTCCCGGCTGGCGGCAGCGTGCATGGGATATATCACCGATCTTCCCCAATGTCATTTGAGCCCAGCCGCTGTCCCAGCACCCGCATCATTTCACACACATCGTTCCCTTATATCTTTGTTAGCCCTGGCTGTTCCCGTTTGCTCTGGCAATTCTATCCCTTCCTCTGCCCTATTGCACTTTGAACGTGCGGTCGATTGATTTCATCTTAGAATCACAATCATCTCAGAAAGCGCCGGGTCCCCGGCCCCGAAGACGACTCTTCAATAGTGCCGGGACATCACAGCTCTTCGCCTTCTCCATATGCCAATATACACTTCTCTACCCTTCACCCCGAGACCCAAATCCTGATCAACCAAGTCGCGGAACTATACAACATTCCTGGTTTCCGGCTTCACCAAATCCTTTCCAACACCTCGCAAATAGAAAACGCTCACAAGAGACAACGGCTTGTATCAGGCTACTCCATGTCTTCTCAGTACGCAGGAGGCTCTCTTCCTGAGGACTATGAAGAGAAGGCTCCACACATTGGGCAGCATGGCCTTGCCAACGTCGAACTAGATCGTTCTTCAGGGTTTCCAGGTCCTGTCGTCAATGGATTAACACAGGGGATGCAGACGCTGGCATTGGCGTTCTGCCAAAACTGTTGGAGCACCTGTGCTGTTACCAATGATGGTATGTATTGCGGCGTATCAAACAATCGTTCAACCCTTGCTGATCCAATAACCAGGTTATCAGCCCCTTCCTGGGTCAGAGGTTGCTACTTATGACTATGGAACCAACAGTAACAGACCCTATGAGGTTGAGAAACCCCCTTCAGCGCAAGTTTCTCAACCAGACGTCTACGTCCCTCCTCCAGTTGTCTCTAACACCCAAAATCCATTTCCGGCCGGAGACAGCAATTTGCTGGGCTCCTATGTGTCCAGCTATCAACCTGTACATGAGGACCCTAATCAGACATTGGTGGCCCAACACTCCGGACCTGACACCGGTGTCTACGTGACTGGGGTATCGGCACCGTCCTTCTATTCCACAACACTCAGTGGTCATGTTGGTGGTGAACCCAGTTACTCGAACGCAAACACCCTTGATCGTCGTCTGACTTCGAGGGAGACTCTGCCGCCTACATACGGCGGCAACATGATGGATATGGTCATATCTCCAGCGTTACAAACTCCCACATCTGTGCCTGTTACGACTGCCAGATTTACTATGGACTCAACATACCCCATGTCCTGTGTCAAGACTGAGGACATGGACGGGCCTATTGCCAACACTCACGCCAACGCTAGTCTTGATGTTGTTTTCCCCAATCAGCGCCCACCAGCCGCAAAGCGTGGCCCTTTCAAGGACCAAAAGGCTCGGGAGGAGACAGCAGCAACAAGGAAGAACGGTTCCTGCATTCGATGCAAGATGCAGCGAGTGAGAGTAAGCATCACAGAGAGGTTTAGAATGGTGGATTCGACTGCTGACAAACGATATTAGTGTAAGACTGATCCAGATGATCCGAAAGGGCCGTGTCTGGGCTGCAAGCCAAGATCGAACAACAATCATCACAAACAACTTATCCGCCAGCCCTGTGTACGCCACAAAATCACGGAATGCCATTTCTTCAAAAAGGGTCAAGCACCTGGTTTCGAGTGGACCCAGCGTTTCAACAACGGCATTGTAGACAACATCAATAACTGGGCGTCGAATGAAGTGAGGATTGTGCGCTTGTGGGAGGGTTACACGCCCAGCAGTATGTGGGTTCAGCTCTCTGTTCGAGAATTCGTCCCACAACCGGGCGACAAGCTGGAACGGACTTGGGTTACCGAAGAAGGTGAAAAGAAGTCTGTGGCGATTCCCACGTATGCCATCACGAACCTGGACGACGCGCAGACGGCGTATGAAGATTATATCAAGAGAGGCGTCGTTGAATGCTTCAACTCGGTCGTGGAGAGTGTGATGGGTGTCAGGGATCGACTGCTCTTCGAGACCTACCTCAAAGCTTGGAAACTCTCGCAGGATCCTTCAACGGCTCAAGATGAGAAGGACCTTCTGCTTCAGACGCTGGAATTGTGGATGGCGGTCCGCTTGACGACGAAGTCAATAGAAATTGTTGGGGACGACACGCTCGGAATGACACGCGATATTCTGGACAGCAGCAGCCCGCAGCACGGACGCATCCCCCTTCCGCCGGTGATGGGAGCTCAATTGGATTTGGTCCTCATCCAGCATATACAGACGAGACTTCGACGAGAAATGCTGGAAAAGCTCCAAAAGATGACGCTGCAGAATAAGCAGAAGACTTGGTTGACCACCTACCTGGTGACGTTTATGTTGCTGCACAACATCGCTCTTGTGACGGATCACGATGCTTCATACGCCAGGAAGCATGGTATGAAGGTGAGTTGTGATGGGAGACCAGCAGGCTCTTCAGCTCAATGGGGGAGCAGCCATGAGTTGCTGTGCAATGAGGTTGCTAACAAATGATTTTTGCCCTGGCAGACAAAATTCGCAAGGCAGACAGATGTCCAGGAATACCATATGGGTAAGTGAACAATAGCTGGCTGAGGCGCTTGCTTTATGTTCAGCGGTGGCCCAATCTGTTTGGCTTTTTGTTGAGTAAGACATGCTGACGAAAGCCTGACGAGCAGGAGGAACGATTCTCCTCGCGTATTTCCACTACTGCAACAAGGGAATCTACCCATTCTCCGAGGATTGCAGAGACCAGGACTTGCGGACGCTGGCCCAGCTGGACGACGACGCGGTGCAGTTTATCCACTACACGCGCGCAATGGCAATGCAAAACAGTCAGTGGCAGCCCATGTTTCCTAAACCAAGCCCCCCCCCCCCCCTCCTTGTGACCGATACTGGAGTATTTTGGGGGTGGTGTCTGTGTGTCTGTGTGACTGTTCTGTGCTAGAGAGATGCGCATCCCTTGGATCGACAGTGTGACAGGCCAACCAACAAGCTGGGAGTGAAGACTGACGCGATTGAAACTAGAACGCGAATGGGAAGAGGTTCAACGAGCCAACCAGTACGAGCAGCCATACTTCTTCGTCAGCCAGCTCTTCCAGCGAGACTGGCAGCCCCAAACCTGGGCATATTAATCGAGGTGGGTAGGTGGGCAGGTGGAGAGAGGGATGGAGGCTAGGAGATGAGGGGAGGGCGATACTTTCCGTTCGGATCTTCCAGGTTGTTTTTACCGGGACTGGGGAGGGGTGCACACACTAAAGCGACGTGCAGAGGCGCAAAGCGGGAGGACCCAAAAGACAAGTCATTGGCTTTTAAAGGTTTGGCATTGAAGGCGGTGTTCATCTCATGCTTTCATTTTCTTCAGATTTGTTTTTTTTTTTGTCATTCGCGAGCAGGCCGTTTGATACTTACTTATTCTTCTCGTTCGACCGGGACTCTTTGAATCGAAGAGGTCCACCTCGGTCTGTCTGTTTATTCTACGGAGCGATGGCGACGGCAATGGAGGGAGAATGCATACCGGTGGCTCTTTCCCATCCTTTTTCTTTCCTTTCATCTCACTTGCTCTACTGTTACTCTCAAGGGGAGATATCATGGCAGGTTTGCGTGTGGGCAGGGGAAGAAAAGAGAGAGGGGGAGGTTTCAACGAAGTTGACGACGATGACGATGGGTGGCAAAAAATGATCAGCAGCCGAGGCTTGTTGTTTCTGTTGTCCATAGTAACTTTGTGTGTTTGTCCTCGTCCAATGGTTCCGTTCAGCGCATCGCCGTGCCAACATTGTGCATGTCCCATGATTGACTGTGGCGAATGCCAAATGTCGGCGTATTTTGTGCCGTGTTACACCGCGACATATAGGTCGGAACCTCCAAGAGTTCGCGATGGGCGTCAGAGACAAAAAATGGTTGAAGTCGAGGAGTGAAAGACCCGGAGCTTATCGAGTTCAGGATTTTGCCTTTGGAGACTAGGAAGTTCCAGGTCGACCCCCACCTCTCGCTAATGGTTCAACCAGAGGATGGGCGCACATGATGTTTCACTGCGTTCTGATATGAAAAGCTCGAACACATCGTCTTGGCCGAGAATGGCTCGAGCTGTGCCGATCCGCCATGTGCATCGTTGGACAGGGTCCTGCAGGTGTTCTACAGACGTGTGTCCGGTCGAATGGTGTGGAGTTGGCGCGGTTCTATTCGTAGAAATCCTTCACCGGCCCAATGCAGACTCCACTTTTCATCAGATTTCATATGCATCTCTGGTTCGCGGGCCGGTCCAGTGCTGTCAAAAAAAAGTTAAAAAAATCCAAGACAAGATGAGAAAGATACACATCATATTCAGAGAATCTTTGTGTGTATACGCGCGCCAGGCCCAACTGACATGTTCGTGCGGTCGATGGGACATCGGAATGTTTCAAAGTCGGGTGGCAATCTGGGGGAGGACGGGAGGTTGAATGATGGATCAGCGGGATGGAGGATAGTGACTGGCGGGATGGGAACTGGGAGATGGGGAATGTGGTGTGGTGTTGTCGACTAAGACATGTCAGGCAAGCAACTCGGATGCAATCCGGTCTGGACTTGATGTATTTCCCTGTTGGCTTGAGGGAGTATTTCGGATCCTAAGGGTGTGCAGGTCTGAGATGGTTGTCGGTAAGGCAGGCCTCGAACAAGCCTTGATTGACGGAGGGAGATGGGGGAGGGGGCGTGAGGAAGACGTGAAGAAGAAGGAAGAAAACCCTTGAAGACCCCCCTCTCACCTTCTTTTCTAAGTAGACGACATGCCGAACTGAAATTACGGTACGAAAAACGAAAACAAAGAACAGATTCTTCCCGAGGTTCGCTGCATTTTCGTTTCCGCACTGCGGCTAGAGTTCTCAAGGATGAAAGAAACAAACATTGGGTTGGGCGGTAAAGGGAAGAAACTCGGCGAGTTGCACAAAATTGACCCTGAGCTTGCAGCACTTGAGGTCGCATGACGAGGTTGCTCGCATCTTTCCCGGCCGGGTCTTATTGTCTTTGCCGGCAGTTTCGGAGGAGTCACGGTGGTGAAGGAGGGCAGGGCCAGGAGGTGAGGTGACGTTCAGCCGGGAAAGTGTGGAGAACCAACGGGAAGTTGGGAATGCCTTACCTAAGGCAAGGTCCTCCCCTCCTCCTCCCCGCCGTGCTGCCGTCAACCTTGCTTTCCTTGGAGGTTCCTTCCAACTGAAATGGATGGGGCGCCGTGCACGTACCAGTCAAAGACCCATAAATTCCACATCGATATTCCCGACATGGAAGTGACTGGGGTGGAAGCGCAGGGGTCCCTCGCTCATCGAAAAAGACGGGAGGTGCGACCGGAACGAACTGTAAGTGGTCCCAGCCATCGGCGTCAGGGGTTGCGGGTCTCCTGTCCCGTTCGCCTACCGCCCGGCTAGCTGCTTACCTTATTTTACATGGGTGTAGATGCAAGCGCATCCAGCAAAGTCCCAATATTGCAGACGACCATCTCTTCCCCCTCGTGCTGGGCCTGTTCCTTCCTGCCTTACCGAGTACCTTACTCTTACCTTATCAATGATTTCGCCATCACGAAGGCTTCCAGATCCCTCACTGAGGTATATAACAACCTCAGTACCTCACCTAAGCACGCAGAGTATCATATTGATATGCCTGGTGTCTTTTCCTTTTCCTCCCGCCCCCCAATCTCGTACTTCAAGTTTTCCGGGCATGCCTTTTTCACTTGGAGCCCTCCACCGCTCGCTTCCTCTCGGCTGTGTTTGTTTGAGAATATTTCTTTTCTTTTCTTTTCGCATTACATGCTCGTTGTCTGCATGTCTCCAGTTGCGTGCATCTGTGGGACAAACGCCTCGCCTAGTGCCCACAGACGCATCGTCGCATCTGCACTTCAGTTATGGGTACGTACCTAAACCTACCTACCCGGGACCTCAGGGCACCTGCCTTCCATCTCTGCCCGGCTTTGTACAGCACAGTGGATGCTAATTCCGAGCATATTCTTTGTTGCTTTTGCTGCTGGACACCAGCTACGGTACCCATGCCACCGACTCCACGTTGAAACATGGATAGCTTAGACACACATCCTCCATTTCGCTCTCACGGTCTACCTATCGGTAAAGCTCAATGTGCCAGTCAGTCAACCAGAGTCCTGCGACTGTCTTGCGTGGCTTTTGAGCACACCAACTCCCTCTCCCTCTCTTCCAGACTCATCTTCGGGACTGCCTCTGTGGCCAGTTTTTTTTTTCCCCCCTCATTCCCCTTTCGCATTCTCGACTCAGACCCTACCGGCGTGCAGCTTAGCACCTCTCCTGCGATACGCCGTCTGCTCTCAAGATGGCCGTCGGTTCTTACAATTCCTTGAGATCGAACGAGGTGGGACGAGCAAAACGGCTAGCAGCAGCGCCGATTGATTTGTTGAGGCGCTTCATCAATCTCGCAGAGCAAAGGAAAACCTGAGCGTCGGGTGACCAGGCCTTTGAACATTGATCCTATCGATTGGTCAAGGGCCGCGGGTCACTCATCGGGGCAATACGAGCACACGAATCGAATCGGACACCACCTACCATCGTCCCCGGAGCGCACAACTCGACTTGACGGCCCGGTTCAAGGCGCGAAGACGGGCGACAACACCAAGCAAGGCTCTGTGCCGTAGCTTAGTGCTCCCGATCACCCACCCAACCGTCATCGTCCCGAGGATTCGAATATGCCGTGTTACACGATGGCCGTAAGAGCTTCCAATTGTTCGTGCACCCAGCCCCGTCGCATTTTGATGCCCGCTCTCTCACCCTGCGCCTGCCTCGTCTGCGGATGTTTCAACAAGCAGCGGAGGCGCTCGCCACAAAACGTGTTTTTCCCACTGCGCATCGAGGTGGGATCGATCATGTCTCTGATCGCATACCCATTCCCCACCGCATTGGATTGCTGAAGTGCCTTCCCGACGCCGAGTGAGGTAGCTTTGGTGGTCCATGTTCGCCCAATGTCGACCTCACCACGCGTACCCTGCTGCTGCAATCTGGTGCCCGTGCTGTGCGGCTTGCCTCCTCTTATCCATCATGGTAACTCACAATCTGCATGGAAGCGTACGACTGTGGCATCGTTGCTAACAACGATGCATTCGACAACACATTGCAAACGGTGTGTCTTCGAGTCCGTCAAAGCTCCGTCACCTTTGCAACTTCAGCAGACCCAAATCGCGCCATGCGTGCTGCGAGAAGCTGGCTGGTCTGTCGCGCCACAACCCAACCTGATGTTTATTTCGCAGTATTTTTTGAACGCCCCTCCCCACAGTGTGCATCGCGGGCGATTAAATTGCTAGTTTACGGTTCTTAGCACAAGCAATGCACGGTTACGTACGTAACACCTACAATGGGCACATAGCACGTATCAGTAGCTCCCTTGTAGAGCCGCTGGCTTCCTCCCCATTCTAGCTCCGCGTTGTCTAGTTTGCGCTCTCTGGACGGCTACATATTGCATCCAAAGTGCTAATCTAATGTGCGTGTCCCTCCCTCCATTGCAACGGGTTGCTGCGTTTGTCGTTCTCATCCCTCGCAGCTTGCCACAACTTGCTACCCACCAAGGACCGCATTCGAGAGACAATCAGAGTCATTGCAACCCCCCTCCCAGTCCCTGAGGACATTACCTTACTCTATGGAGCCCGTACGTACTCAATCTTTTCTTTCCCTGGTCCACCACTACTGTATCGGCTCCTCTCTTCTACATTGTTCTTCCGGTTCCATTCAAACCCCACTGGTCGTACAGAACGCATCTTCTATCGCTCTATCAGCTCTCGTCCTTTTTCCTCTTTTTCGACACCATCGTCCAAGTCTCTTGCCTTGAGCAGAAGATATGCCCGGCGTGGATACCCAGGAAGCCAGAGGGTCGCCAGGTCAAGGGGAGATGAGGCACAACCGGCCTGAGATGGGGTGCGCAGTGCATCCTGGTTTTTTTTTTTTCCTCTCTCTCTTCCCCTTCACTTCTTCGATTGTGTTTTATTCCCTTCCACATCAGGTTGGGGTTGGCCATCGCAATAACGGCCTAGCTCAGCCCGGACCAGCCCAGATCTTCTTTTCCTCACATATTGCTTCTTTCTCGCCGGGTACCTGCAAGAGCATGGTGCACTTTCCCACCCCCCTGGCGTTGCGCAAGTCCACCTGATGGGCTGGCCACTTATTCATACTTGCACTCGCAAAAGCCTCCACGCCTGGGAGAGCAATGAGAAAAAGAACACCAGGAGGAAAGAAAGAAAGAAAAAAAGGCGGAGGAAACGAGAGAGGGAAAGAGAGAGAAAGTGAGAATGGCAAGTATTGATTAAGGTATTGCGTGGGCGTGTGGTGGAAGGCACTACGCATGTGATGTACGTAGTAAGGCAGGGAGGAGAGGTACCTTTGAAGTCGAGGTCAAGCAAGTGCAAATGTCCGTCCATCTTTCCGTCTTTTTCAATTCTCCCATCCTTCCTTCCGATTGCACCCCCCCCCCCCCCCCCCCCCCCCCCCCCCCCCCCCCCCCACCGCCCCACACCCCCCCCCACCCCCCCTCTTTCCCCTCATCACCCTCTCCCCCCCCTCCTCCTCCCCTCTTCTCTCTTTTTCTCCCCCCCCCCCCCCCCCCCCTCCGCGCCCCCCCCCCCCCCCCCCCCCATGACATTCCGTGCAACGAGGTATCCGAACCTGCCTACAGATGCTTTTCTTTCCTTACCTTACCTACCTACCTACCTTACCTTCCTTGTTCAACTTACAGATACTTGACGTTGGGTTACTTTACGCACCCATCTTCCATTTCACGTTTGGGAAGGAATGATCAATTATCGCAAGGCAAGGCAACGTAAGGTACCTTCAGGTAGGCAGGCAAGGGAATCTCGGCATGTACCCTCCCGTCCATCTTTGCTACATGGCAGTGGACTGTGGTGCACTTTGGCAGGCACCCTGCATCTGCATCATCCTTTCAAGTTCTGTTCTTGCCGTGCTACCTTACCTCAGGCCGGAACTCACCTTTTCGTGTTGCCGTCTACTTCGTACACCTTGAGGTAAAGTAGGTATTCCCCAAGTGTTGTCTCAAGGTAGGTAAGGTAAGATACGTTAGTTCCTTTCATTTACCTCGCCGCGCAGGCCTTGTCTTGGCCTATCCTGCCTTTCGATTTGTTCCTTGCCTGCGTTAGTTCCCAGGGTAGAAACTACCTGTGGTTGTTTTACTTTATTTTATTTTTTTCGCCAATTCACTCTCAGTTGCCATTCGCATGCCTCTCTGGCCCGATGTGAGGTCGGGTTGGCTCCATCAGCACCTCCCTTCCGTTCTTTACCAGCTGCCTATGTTCCTCCGCTCTCGTCTGCAATTTCTTCTTCTTTTCACAACCAACTCCCCATGGCTTAAATGTCTTGATGACAATCTCACACCATCACCTCATTTCCTGTCTCTGGCTGGCCCTCCCAACGGCCTGGCTCACCTGCTACCTGCCCTTGCCGCTTTCCCGCGAACTAAGGTAAAGCAACATACCGCTGCTTCTTTGCGCGCGCATGCACACGCCCATATCTCTTTCTCGTCATCCACGCCCACATATCCACGCCCACCTACCTAGGTAGCCCACTCTACGCATGTGGCCGTCGACCGGGCCCGGATACCACCTAGAGGAAAGCCAGCTCTGTCTATATCCGTTCGTACAGCTTCGGTGCTCTGCTTCACGACCATATCTACTTACCCTTCAACAACTCCCTTCCCACCTTCATTCCCGTGTGCAAAAAACCCCTACACAGACAGGCGCAATTCGGGTAACCACTTTATGGGACCCATACATCGAGCAGCTTCCCGCTATCTCGCCTGTCGTCCCTACCCGTTCTGTCCTCCCTATTCCTTGCCACCGAATTCCCTGAGCCTGCCCTTTCTTGCTTCTGCTCCTGCTTTGCCGCTGAAATATCCTCTTCACCGACTGGCCTTGCCCGTGAAGCAAGTATATTAGGCTTCTGCCAGATCATGTCAGATCCTCGCCATCTCTCTCACAACCGTTTCTTCTCCAATCAACGCCATTGTCTTCCGCACCAGCCTTTGTCTTGTCTTCTCTTCTTCCCAATCCTTTATACAAGTCAGTCTCTGCCACGCCTACTCAGTCTCTTCCAGACGCTCCTCAACTTCAAGCACACCTTGGTAGTCATTGGCTCCGCCGTCACTACGTCCGCTTCTTCTTAAAGCTTGTTCCGAGCCTCAACCTGATTCAAAGTCGCTTTCTTCACGCCCACGCTTCTTGGCCTTACATCCCACGCCGCACGGCAGACAGTCAATATCAAACAAACGTTTCCAGGTTCGTTCCGAACATGCCCCCTGCCACTGCTTACTCATGTTTCGCCCGTGGTCATCTTCTGACAAGTCTGATTTCAGTTCTCACATCAGCAAGATGGCGTCTAGTGCAGTTGGTCCGGTCGTGGGTGCTACCACAGCAGCCGCTGGCCATCACATTCACCACCTCGGCCGCAACGCCCCAGTCGCGGACGTTCCTGTCATCCCCACTGGCTTTCCCGAGACAGTGGTTAACGAATCAGCCTGGACCGGCCCGCAATTTACCAAACAGTCGCAGTACACTTACAGCCTCACTAATGCGGACCTTGACGAGCTCGCTGCCGCGCTCAAGCACTTCAAGAGTATGCTAAAGCCTGCCCACCTCATGCTACCATTGTCCGAAGGCTGACTTTTGGTGCCAATTTAGCTCTGGGCCTAGACGGCGATCTCGTCAGCCGGGACAACTTCCCTCTGCCGACCCTCGGTGCCACTTTGGATGGCATTGCCCGTGACATTCATCAAGGCAAGGGCTTCGCTGTAGTCCGCGGCATTGACCCCCAGCAGCACTCTGTCGAAGATCTTACGATCCTGTACCTTGGCGTTCAGGGATATGTTGCCAACCAACGTGCTCGCCAGGACAAGAAGGGAAATATGCTTGGTACGTTGACATTGTGCCGTTCTTCGTCTTTTGGACAGTCTTTGCTAACCATAATCGACAACAACAGTCCACATCGTTGCCGACAACACAAGCCAGGCTAAGGCGGATCACCATCGCCATTCTACTTCAGCCATTGTAAGCTTTACCACCATTGTCTTTCCTTGCAAACTACTGACAAGGCCATCCCTAGACCTTCCACAATGAGGAGTCCGGCGATGTCATCAGCTGGTTGACCCGCAACACTGCTGCTGCCGGTGGCAAGTGCATCATTGCCTCTGCTCACACCGTCTACAATGTTCTTGCAGCCACTCGACCTGACATCATTCGCACCTTGTCCCGTTCTGACTGGCCCTTTGCCCTGTAAGTAAACAGTCCCAGCTGCCCACCAGTTCTCCGTTGTTTCCGAGCTGTAGCCTGACCAGACCTCAGTCCCAAGTTCCAGTGCCGTCCGATTCTCTTCCATCATGACGGAAAGATCATTATCAACTTTGGTCGCACTCCTTTAATGGGCAACTCAGCTCATCCCAGACCGGTACACTTTCCATCCTTGTCAGCTCGCCAGATTGAGGCTCTTGATGCTGTCGAAGCAATTGCGAAGGCTACTCAGATGGAGATCCAGACTCGTGCTGGCGATATTCACTTCATCAACAACTTGGCCATCCTCCACCGTCGCGAGGCCTTTGTCAACGGCCAAGGTGCTAGCGAGAAGCGTCACCTTGTACGCATGCGCGTGCGCAATGAGCAGCTCGGCTGGTCTATTCCCGATGCCCTCAAGCGCGAGTGGCATGATGCTTTCGACAAGCCTGCCGACCGCGTCTGGCACCTGGAGCCGATGCCTGACGCGTTCTTCCCCCTCAGAAAGTACCCCAACTGACTCTGCACATTCTGGTCTTTGATTTTCTTGCTAGGACGCCTAATGAAGAATCACCAAACAAAGGGAGAAAGAGGCGTCATGGTTGCATTATTTGGACTTGCATGTTTCGAACCCGAGAAACTGGGCTGGGCTTCTTCTTGCGTGGAGTCAATCACCGCATCTTCTTTTGTTCGAGTTTCCTTTCACAACATCTCACTTAACCCCCCTTGCACCACAAAAGCTTATTGTCGTTTCCTCGTCGTTTACGGTCAGAAAAGCACGGAGTCCATTGGAGTTCACACAGTAGAACCCGGCTGGGAAAAGCATGTATACAATGGTTGGGATGTTGAACCCGGCGTTGTTATTGTATAACCTAATAAACCTTGACCGTCAAGACCTGCCCGGTATGCGAAGCTTGAAATGACTTCGGCAAGCCTGGTTCTGAGACATGTGGCACTGAAATCCCGGCACGTGTCCGGCTGTCAGTGAGTTGGCTGAGGATAAGTAACGGCAGCCATTGGTCACACGACCGCGGAGCTGGGAAATCTATGCCCATGCAGTACCGGTCAAACAGCCAACCAATGGCTGAACATATTCCGAGACATCGGTGTACGCCTGTCAACGCGTCCAAAACGGAACCTCATTTCATACTTTTAGCTTCTCGGTCACAAAAGGCCTGGGTTCCTCCCTCGCGGATCTGACGGAGTTGCTCATCGCGAGCTGCGGCAGTTCACAGAGAGATAACATACCTGAGCCAAAGCAGACAATTATCTGCATCAGACTTCAGCATGGACTCCGGTCAGTGCTTTATTGTGAGATTGCCGCATTTGGTTTCTGTGAAGTTGGTATATCTTGCTTCATTACACTGACGATTGCGGAATCAGGAAAACTGCCCCGTTATGCATGGAAGAACGCCCGCTTGGTCTCTCTGCGGATCCAACATTGCTTCTTCGCCGCCTCTAATGTAGAAAGACGTGCATATGACGGTCCCGTATTCCCAGCCCCAAACGACAGCCCTCTCAGTCTCTGATGGACAACAACTCAGCTGCAAGGAGGAAAAGCAACGATGATGCGAACATACATCAATGTCTGGGATCCTCAACGGTGAGGCCATTGATCTCTGCTTTGCAAAGCAAGTATGGCGTCTTGACCGGCAGACCAGCTGACCGATATCTTAGACGGGCATGGAGTTCGCGATTTGCCATGGCCAGAAAGACCACTCGAGCATCCTGACCTCTAGGGGAGGCGACAGCCGCCTAGGAGGGCCGAGGCCTTTGTCGAGACATGCAAAGAGCCACTAAGCGCTTCTATTGACAGTGTGCCTTTGGTTTTTCCTGCATTTCTATTGCACTTCTCTTAGGGATCGGCAAGCAAGCGAGCGCATGCTGCAGCTCGTGGCGGAACAGCAAGCAGCTTTTGACACCTGCAATACGCTGGTATCAGTGTGTATGGGCATGTACAATTTCATCGCCTGCATGGGAATGCCGGATCGCTGGCTACAATCTATGGCCCCGGGCTGGCGCCCAGGGCAGAAGCGGGAGCAAATCTACGGCGAGTTTGCGTTCGCACCCCTACAAGGGAAGGGAGGAGCGAAAAGAAAACGAGGTATGCATGAGAAGTGGGCAGTGAAAGAGGACGCCGCCATGCGGGAACTTTTGGAGTGTATTCCAGAAATGCATCAGCTCCGTCTCAAGGACCCCTACGCCGGGATGTTTTCTTGCTTTTGCCAATGTCTTCAGTCCGGTCCTAGTCGCCTGGAGGACCTGGGGTTTTACGATGACGCTGACCACCTGGTGATCCTGGGCAGACACGTTGCTTGTCACCAACGAGCAGGATACGTGTTCCATGCAGACGAGACGAGGGTGAAGTATGAGGAGTATCCGCACGAAATTCAAGGGTGCATGTCAAGGAAATTTGATTTTTGCCGGTTGGTTTGCAACAGCCTTGCAGCCATAGCAAGCTTGACGTGATTACCTAATTGGAAATGGTGAGAAATCCGGCGGTGGTCCGAGGTCGGCATTACCGGCTTGTCCTTCGCTAGCAGGTCTTGAGATGGATGTGTGCAGCCAGCGCCCCCGCTTCTTGCGTTTGTACATTTTTTATTTTATTTTGATTTTGTTGCTTCTTTGCCATCCCAGGACTCGATGTTTTCTTTCTTTTTCCCATCAAACCATGGCGGCATAGCCTGTACATGACGGGGAGGTTGTCATCGGCTCCTAGCGTGGGCGATCGATCGGAGGGATAGAAACGGGGCCCATTTTGCGAGAAGAGGGACGCTAGGATCCACCTTTGGGAGGAGGAGGAGTCTGGTTCGGAACGCCTAGGAGAAGCGGCGGAGACATTGAAGACACGTACTGTGGAGCACAAGAGCTCCAGTAATAGTTTCTTCTTCTCAACAGCGCGCCAAGACGAGTACGAAGGAGTGGAAGAAGAAAGAAGTGACCATGAGTGACGAATGGGTGTATGTAAGTGCGGGGGGTTGTCACAAAACCCTAGGCCTAGAATCGACTGGCTGACACCTGCGTGGAATCACTAATCAACTTGGATGAGTCCTGTTTGGGAAGACTATCGTTGAAAGAGCTGCAGGTTGCTACAAGCGCGGACATGAAGGCCCAAGTTAAGTGGACGCACGGTGATTGACGTTGAAAGGTTGGGACAAGGTGCAGTAGGGCTTCCCCGCGATGCTCGCTTCGCGACTTAGGTGTCAGAATCTGTGTAGCTAAAAGATGCGATGGTCGGGGAGCTGGAGCTGGAACTCAGCCGGGAGAAACATGGCCTTGAGGGAAAGAGTTGATTGGGGCGTGGGGGAGGGAGCGGACGATGGCCATGAAGAAGGAAAAAGCAAGCATGAGCGACGGGTGTTGCGATTGCTTGGTGATACTTGTACGGAGTATTAGTTGTGTGGATGGATGGATCGAGATTGCAGCCCGATTGACGTCGGTTCGTCAACGGCTGAAAGTGACCTGGGAATGCGTTGACAGTGATGGGCTACAGAGCTGGCCCGGGGATGCCTCCGCGCATTCGGCGGCAGCAGTTCATTTCAGTCCAGCCTAAGTCAAGGTAAGGGAAGGTAGGAATACCCGCGGACTCTCACGACTGAATTCTAGGGTACCTGAGAGTGCCATGGAAAGTGAAGTCGATGTGTACCTTATCGCGTGCTTAGGTAAGTAGGAATCATGTCAGATTGACATTCATCATTCAAGGACCAAGAGCCATCACTCAGAGACGGGAGTCTTAGGGCACCTACCTTACCTAACTATGTACTTTGTAGCACAGGCCAAGGAGCCATCTGCCGGAGCAGCCAGACCAGGCCGTGTCATTGGCTGTTGGCTGTGCGTCGTCGGGACCGGATCCGCCTTCCCGGTTGAGCTAAGCCGCGAAGGTAAGCTGCCGATGGGGCCACGCATCGTCGAATGAGAAGGCGCCGCTCCCAACGACAGATGCCCCCTAACCGCGAGCCTCCCTACCTTGAGCTCCTCCTGGCCGCCTCAGACGACACCTCCCCATCGCGACGTTATCAAACCTTCTCTTACGGATACCTGACCTTACAGCAAAGAGGCATTGGATGGTCTTGCGCACACGACACACACCTGACCGCCCTTTGTTTGCTTCTTCGCTTTCGCCCGTCCTTCCCGCCCTTCCCGTTCTGCAAAGTTGCCTTTTCCTTCCCATCGCACTGACCATCCAGGTGGCCAATTGGGGAATCACGGACGTTGCTCCCGAGGCCTGGGGATCGACTGCCCGCCGCATGTGTGTCCAAGAAGATCCCTTCTTTCCTGCATCGGCACCCGTTATACCCTACTGCCGCACCTCACAATCGGTCCATCCAACCGCCTTCAGGCGCACACGTTTCACTCTGCATCGTGTCTCGCCTACGCCAACCTCGGTTTGCCCGCCTGATGGCCTGATAGTGCCGCTTTGAGAGCTGCATGTCCATTCTAGGCACCATCCACTTCAAGAAACAAGCGCTCCATACATGGGATTGTACCCCCGAGTGTGAAACGAATCCTGCTTTGACGTACTTTATTCTACTTTGCCTATTCCACGCCCCCCTCTTTTGTCTACCTACTTACCAGGCTACCTTGCCTGCATACGAGCTCTGCGTCCCGTTGGTGTCTCGGTGCAACCTCCGGCAGTTTGTGACTGGACATTGCTAGCTGCAGATTCCCAAGCCAAGGAGTGTCGTGCATCGCCTGCAAGAAAAGCCTTCAGCGGACCGTCAACTCCGAAGGGGGTGACTTGTACCTCCTTTCAAGCGCCGGATCCCTCCCGCCACACTCTCCCTCTCTCATCGAGCACTGCGCAAATTTCAGTCCTCCACAGGGACTTCTTGCAGCAACTATGGCACCCCGCCAGGGTGGCTATCTCCGCGTTCCGGGACAGGAAGACGACTTTTCCCGGAAGCAGCCTCGTCGCAGCCGTTCCGGCTCCTCCGGCCGGAGGCAAAAAGCTCTGCCCAGCGAGAAGCCTCTCCCGGCCCTCCCGCCGCCGACGCCGACGTCCGGCGCCGCGTTTGTCGACATTGATCTACACGGTGACGGCTCTCACAACTCGCCCAGTAACCGCCGTCGCGCCACCATTGCTATCGCGCTCGCCCTGGCCTTTGTGGGATGTATGCTCGCATTTGTGGTCCTGGGCTTCGCCTGGGACAATGGCGGCGTGAGACGGGGCCCGAACGCATTGGACGGCTTGAAGAACCTCGAGAACTGCCCGTGTAGGCCGGCCGATGACGTGCCACAGTACTTCAGGACGAGTCCGGAGTTGTGGGCGGGCCCGACGGCGACTGGTAAACCTGCCTTTATGGCGCAGACGAGAGTAATTCCGACGGGAACCTTTGTGCCGAATGCGCCGCTGCAGACGGATATCCCTATCGAAGGAATGGGAAGCAAGAATGAGAGCATTTTCAACATGATGGGGTAAGTTGCGTGCCATGTACACGGATGAAGGGGGAAAGTGATTGCTCAACTCTCGGGCGTTTAGGTATCTTACCCCGTATCAACCGAGTCCTGGCTTTGGTGTTGAGGAATACGCGCTGCCGGAAGGAGCCGATATCGTTCAAGTTCAGGTAAGCCACATCAGAGCTAGCTAAGGCTGGACTTCAGTGGCTGCTTCTTAGGTCGCGATGGAAAATGCTTATTTTGACTAACCTGTGATAGATGCTCTCTCGCCACGGATCTAGATATCCCACCACAGGATCCAATGTAGCCGATTTTGGGCAGCGCATCGCAAAGGCTGGCAAGAAATTGAACGCCAAGGGTGCTTTGAAGTTCTTGAATAACTGGAAGTATCAACTGGGACACGAGATATTGGTTCCAAAGGGTTCGTTTTACTGCTATCTTGTCTGTGTCCTAAATCGCTGACCTTATTATCCGCAGGGCGTCAAGAGCTGTTCGACTCTGGTGGGTGGCCTGATACTAGACAGTTCACGCAAAGGCTTGGAGCATCAAGACTAATGAGCGATTAGGCATTTTGCACTCGTACATGTATTCGTCGCTGTATAATCCGAACAGCAAGATCATTGTGCGAACAACTGTACGTCAGGAGTACTTACTACTAGCTTTTGAGGATTCGTGACTAACACGCTTGCAGACGCAAGACAGGATGCTGAAGTCGGCCGAGTATTGGCTGGCGGGTTTCTTCGGTCTCGAATGGTATAGTGCTCCACTTGACGCGTGTGAAGCCTACAGCTGACTTGGAAATCAGGACAAACAATGCCACCATCGAGGTCATCATTGAGCAAGACAGAGCGAACAACTCGCTCGCCGGCTACTTGAACTGCCCCAACGCTCGCAAGCAGAATGGAGGCGACGATGCTGCCAAGGTTTGGATCTCAAACTACCTCGCCAATGGTGAGCCTGCCTGCTGCTATTCTACGTAGTCGTACATGCCGCTGACAACTCTTTCCAGCTACTGCCCGGCTGAAAGATCTGGCGGAGGGATATGACTGGACCATCGATGATACCTATGCGGCTCAGACCATGTGTCCTTACGAGACGGTGAGAACTTCTGTCGGATAGGAGACTGTATTGCCTTTGACTGACCTTGAACCAGGTGGCATACGGCTTTAGCGTCTTCTGCGACTTGTTCACCTACGAGGAATGGGTCGGCTTCTCCTACTCCGTCGACCTCATGTTTGCCGGCAATAACGCATTCCAGAACCCCACAGGTGTATGTAAAGATCTCATACTGCGCTGAATGACCCGATATTGACAAGGCTGCAGCGCGCTGTTGGTATCGGCTATCAACAAGAGGTCATTGCGCGCCTCCAGAACCATACTCTGGGCTATTCTGGGTCTCAGATCAACGTGACACTCGACAACAACACAGTCACGTTCCCGCTCAACCAAAGCCTCTATTTTGACTTCTCCCACGACACAAACATCGCCTCCATCCTAACGGCGTTTGGCCTGAAGCAATTCGCTCAACTCCTCCAGCCAACGCAGTACCCGGGCCCGCACAACTTCACCGTCTCCCACATCACGCCCTTTGGCGCCCGGCTCGACATTGAGGTCATTAAGACGCCCAAGCCGTTCAAGGCCGACCGTTCCGGGTACGAGAAGGACGGCGGGGAGACCAGGTACATTCACTTTGTCCTGAACCAGAGGACCGTGCCGCTGGGCTGGAGTTTCCCCGATTGCGATGTCACGAGATTAGACGGCTGGTGCGAGCTCGAGACGTTTTTGAACGTGCAGCAGGGCATGCCTGAGCTGGCGGCCTATGATAGAGCTTGTCATGGAGACATTGAGACCGTTCCGTACGGGACCGTGTATGATGGTAGACCCTTGTGAGAGGGTAGGTGCTTGTGACGATAGTGTTGTTGGCTCACGGTTGTGTACATATCTCATACTCTTTTCGATCGAAGGTGAAATTACACCTGTTTACTATAGGGTCTATTGGCGGTGTTTGAATAATCTATTTGGGTGACTTTTGCAAATTCCGTGCATTTCAGTATTTTCAGCGGTGGAAATCAACGCAGAGGCCCCCATGGACTCGCGCATAGTATCCTGGTGCCGAGAACATATCTTGAATGGTATCTTCAGGTTATCAAGATTACATCGTTGTTTGTACCCAAGGCTCTGTCTCTCCAGAGAAGATTACGGTGATGGGTTGACGGAGTCGTCGTAACATGTGAGGGGGATAAATCAGTCTTGTAACCCTCGGCAACTTTTACCCTCTCCGGTACTTGGAGGCATATCAACCGGCACCACTTTAGATCCGGTTTTTAAAATGGCCCCGTTAACGGTCAACTACAGAACTGCGCATGGCTATGAGATCCGCGGATGCTCATGTCGTTCGTCCTCTGGGTAAAGACGAGCAAAACAGCTGTCTATGTCTCAATCCACATCCACACCCATACCCTCGTATGCAGAACTGAGCCCATTTTCAATGAAAAACTAGAAACCAAAGCGCCTTTCTGATTCAAAATTACATTGTGGTGCTAGACAGAATTATATTCATCGCGTCAGCCGTAATCAAGATCCTGTCGTCTCTGCCATCATGTATGCCCTACCCTCTTCAAACAACCACATACGACCATACCCATTGGAAAACTCGGGATCCCGTCCGCTCTCCCATAGATAAGCCAATGAGGGCCGGATTAGTAGTTGGGTCGGTGACGACCAGCGAATACCTGGTGTTGTATGTCTTTTGATTGTTTTTGGTGTTTTGGTGGAGATGTGTTGGTGTAGGTGGGTTCTGGATGCGTGGTGTTGATGTGATGTTGGTTTTGAGGATTGGGGGAACGTCGGACGAGGGAGGACGAGAAAAAAAATTGTTGTAGGCTGTGGGGTCGTATTGTTTGAGTAGATTGTGACGGAGAATATATTATTTTATGAGGATTGTGGTCTGAGACGTAAGGGCGGCGACGGTTTAGCTTGAAGTGTGTAAGTTCGTGATAGTGGCAATATAGGGGTTTTATCTGCCGACACCGGGGAACAAGATACATCATCAGGAAGCATCCGAAGGAAACATCTTATCACTCTGCGAATTCAACGGGTCCTGAGACAGGATCAACTCAAAGAGAGATATATATGCTAGTATCCTTTGCTGGAGGGTAATTACGTACAGAGAAATTCCTCGAGGCTGAGCCTTTCTACGTACTTACATGCCTAGAACAAAATGAACAACAAATCACTTAAATGAGACTCGGATGGCTGGATCGTAGTATTTTCAATTCTCATAAGATTAACTGCAAGACGCAAACTTGCTCTCCTCACAGTGTGATATATCGTCATCAACATCTTCTATGTGCTTAATTTGATATCTTGCACCGACTCTTTCTTTCTTCAATAAAATTTCCCACCTAGGGTATCAAAAAATCGCTATACATCTGTTTCTATCCCTAACCCTCCACATTTTCCTCAATCACTAGAGGTGCTGGGACTCTTGGGGTCCTCTGCATCCTCTTCATCAATACCCCTGCCCTCGCTGTTGGCGATGGCGCTCTGCAGCGCGCTCGTTAGATCGACGTGGAACAGCGGCCTGTTGAGGCCGTGGACAACGACACCCTTCCTCCTGGGGCCGCCACCAACGTTGCCGGCGCCGGCGCCGCCCTTCCTCGAGCCCGACGAGACGGGGTCGATTTGGTCGTATGCGCCGTCCTTGCCCAAGGCCTCCTCGTCAATAGTCCTCGCGCCCCGCGCGTGCGTCGAGAGCTCCTTCTCGTGGGCCTCCTTCTCCGCGACCGCAGCCGCCGACTCGGAGCCGCCAATTTCGGCGACGCTGAAGATGGACTTCCACTGGTGCTGTGTGCCGTCGTTGCGGTCGACGGGGTAGCCGAAACCGGCGGCAACGAGAGCACGCTTGGTCCACCGGTTGTTGATGCAGGCAATGTGCCAGTTCACCTTGTCGGGGGATGCGTAGCGGTCGAGCTGGTTGCGGACGTCAATGAGCTGCTGGATGGACGTCAGGTCGACGTGGTTGACGGAGCTGAAGTCAAGGATGATGGCCTTGAGCGTCGGTCTGTTCTCCTCCTCGTGCATCTGGGCCTGCGCCTTCTTGGCCTTGCGGGACGGGCCCGGGTCGTTCCAGGGGCGGTCGCCCAGTCTTCCGTACGACTGCATGTTTGTGCGGCGCGTCCGGGCAAAGATGTAATCGGTGAGGTACTCGAGGGAGTGGCTGGCGTTCGGGTAGTTGAAGCCCTCGGAGAAGCGGTAGATGAAGATGCCGGGGTACGGCTCGTCCAAGGAGACCTCGGGGTTGGATCCGTCGCCGTGGTCGATGGGCAGGAAAACGTTGCGGGCGGCGTTATCGCTGGCGTTGAAGGTGCCGTACTCACCAATGACTTGTCGGTGGTCTTCGCCAATGACGTGGTCGCCGACGACGGAGTGAATCTTGACCTTTCCGAGGAAGCGTCCCTGGCTACGGAGAATGCGCCAGAGGAGCAGCACGGCAGAGATGCAGATTGTGGCGTAAATTCCGTTCTCAATGGAAGAGAAAATGGTGACAAAGACACCGACGAAGAAGATGACGACTTCAAGGGGCGAGACACGCCAGAATTGGTAAACAGTGTTGGGCGGCGTAATAAGATCGCCGACGGCATGGATGATGACTGCAGCTAGTGACGCGCTGGAGATGTAGAAGAACACAGCCGTGAGAGCGTAGATGGCAAGCAAGACAATAAGGCCAGTGATGACACCAGCGAAGGGAGTTCTGACGCCAGCCTTGGACTTGATAGCGGTACGACTGAACGAGCCCGTAGAGGGATACCCGCCAAGGAAAGGTGCGATGACGTTGGTAACACCAATAGCAACGAACTCTTGAGACGGGTTGATGGTGTAGTTGTTGACACGACCGAAAGATTTCGAGATGGCAACGTGCTCAATGACCAACACAATAACGCTGGCAGGCAGGAAAGGCAAGAAAGCGCTGATGAGGTCGGTGTCGACCTTCGGGGCGCCAGCATTCTGGAAACCTGTAACTTTGGTTAGATCACGGTATACTAGCCGAGTGAAAATTGCACTAACCTCTTGGAACTTCTCCCAAGATCTTGAACAGCGGGTTTGACCGTCTGTTCATGTTGACCAGCCAACTGATCATGGTGTAGAGAAGGATGACGAAGACAGTTCGTAAGGTCGAGAGGAAGAAGAAAAGCTTCGACTTCTGAGGATACTTCTTGGCCAGACTAGTGAAGATGAACCGCAAAAGGTAGAGCATGGTGAGGGCAGTCAGGCCCATGGCAGCATCCAGCTTTGTCTTGGGGAGGGCCTTGAGGGTGTTGATGAAGACCAGGTAGGTAGCCTCTCTTGTGTTGACACCCTTGATGCCCAACAATGTGACCAATTGGCCAACAGCGATGCTGATGGCAGAACCAGTCATGAAGGCTGACAGAGAGGTCAAAGAGATCAAGTCGACAATCCATCCCATTCGAATCAGGCCAATGAAGAGAATGATGGCGCCGGCAATGATAGCTAGAGCAGACGCAATCTGATGACCTTCGTATTGGGGAAAGTCCGCCTGGACATCGGTAATGAGGTTACCAACGACAGTGGACATAACAGCTACGGGCTATTAGTCAGTTAGTAGAGTATCAATGTGGTTTGGAAGAGGATTTACATACCCCGATGGTGATATCCTTGGATGTAGCGAAGAACCAGTAGATAATGACACCCATGAAGGATGAGTAGAGACCGAACTGAGGATCAAGCTTTGCGAGCAAAGCGTAAGCCATACCCTGGGGTACCACAACAGCACCAACAGTGACACCGGCGACCAAGTCACCAAGGAACCACTGCAGGTTGTAGTGACCAATCCAGTTGAGGAAGGGGAAGAGAGAGCGGATGTACGCAAGGACTTCGTGGCCGTCGGGAAGAAGTTCGAGGAGCCACTCAGCCGTTGTTGGCTCCTCCTCAACGAATGTGTCCGAGGACTGGACAGAGAAGACAGACTCGCCGCGCAACATCTCTTCGTTTTCGGGCTTCTCGAGCTTGATGCCCAAGACCTTGGCCAGGCCATGGCCAATCTTGGTGCTTGTGCTCGACATGGTGGTTGATCGGACCGGAAACCGGCTGAGACTCTGAGGAATTACTTGTCAAGCTCTTGACTACAGAGGCGAGTAGCACACAGGACCTCGCTCCTTTTTTGGCGAAGGTGTCCCAAGGCTATATAGGAGTCACCGGGGGTGGTCACCGTGCCACACTCCTGGGTCCACGGGGGTCGCCGTGGGATTTGGCGGTCGAGAAAGGGCAGCAGGAATGGGAACCGGGGTGCGTAGTGGGCAGAAGCTAATGGTGCAAACCGTGACTAGAACGCTTCCAGTCCTGGAGGCTCGACGGGGGTGGCGATTTGGGGCAGGAGGTGCGAGATTGTCGCTACTTGATAGCCCTTGCAAAGTTGCGCAATCGGCCAAAGGGGCATTAATTGGTCGAGACAACGATGGCCGACTCAACGATGAGCGAGAGAGTTCCCGACACAGGAAAAACGCCGTAATTTGGCGGCGTGCGAAAATGGCGACAGAAGCGCTTGTGGCTGACAAGAAGGGATGAGAGACAACAACCCTTCACACAATAGTGGCGACAAGATATCTGTATCGTGTGGCCTAAGTGGTCTGGAGCAACTGTTCGGGTTGTGCGACTGAAACAGAAGCTCTTCAAATCTTTCGGAAGCTCTTCGAAGCTCTTCAGAGACTCTCACAATCTCTTCAAGTTAGGCTGAGGAAGGCAGGCAGACAAGCTTTTAATTGACTTCAGAAACTTCGGTAGTGGAGTGCCAAGGGAGGCTCTTAAGGCATTCTTGCTTGACAAGACGATGGATCTCATGGGCCAAGAGATGTGGCACCGGGATGACGGCGGCAGCCAAGAAATGAGCGTTGCAGAAGAGCCGAGGAGAAGACGACGACGGTAAGAGAGACTCGAGAGAGAAGGAAAACTCTGACAGGGGGTGTATGAATCCCTCAATGGCGCGGATTTAATAGCAACAATTGTTGGTGTCAGCAGAAGCTCTTTGTGGTGGTAGTATCCGCACTCCTCCCGCGATGTCGAAACCGGGGCGATGTCGCCATCGAGTCTTTGCCATTCAAAGCTTAGTGGAGACGGGCAATGGGGGTCGGTACATGCTGCGAGCCCAATTATCTTATACCCACCAGACAAGGGACCTGCGCTCTCTTGCTTATTTGATATCGAATTGGTAATATCAGACGGGCTCGTCCGTACGATTTTCAATAAGCGCCATTGGATGAAGTACTCTATATGCACAATGCGGCGTATTCAGCTGTGATGAAGTGGAGGAACGGACCATGCTAAAGATGCGGTCTCGGAGGGAACTATTGCGTGATTTCACTCGCTCTCTCAAGTCTCAACTTGGTTGACCACGCGGCATGTCAGAGATACAGGTGCACGAGGGGAAAGCTCGGGTTTCCTGTGGCCAGACTGCAGAAATTGGAGAATGCCAATGCTCATGTGTCGTCAGTCATGGAGCCGGGCGAAGCGCTGCCTTGTTGACCGACGTGATAAACTGGAGACGATGAAAAATCAGAGCAGACTGTCGGGTGAGGGACAATGCCCAAATGCCAAAGTGTTCCCAGTTGTGCAACACACGTTTCCACGGGGAGGAGACGAGTATCCAAAGAACTACCGCATTTGGGACGGTACCTAGTGTGCTGACCAATGAGGTTCAGCTTCCGCAACTTGGCGATGGTGCAATAGTACCCTTGTTTGAGGTGATGAGAGAGTGGGGCAGATGGCTGCGGAGATGCTCAACCTGGTTGGACCCTTCTGAGACTTCTTCGCCTTGACTGGTTGCTTGTCTCGCAAAGTGTGGTGCGAAGCTTTTGAACGAGATGAGAAGCTGGGTTGGTCCTTGACAGATTCGGACCAGAATCTCAGATGGCCATGATTGTCGGGACGTGTGATGCACTTCCTCGTGGTCACTGCACGTGCGAATCAGACCGTCGACAATGGCGGCAAACTGCGAGATGCTCAAGAGTCTGGAGAGAGACAGGGGATGCTCGGCCCCAGGCGAAAGACGATGGCAAGATGGATTCACGGAATGGGGTTCCGGGATAATCTGCTCCATTGTGTGGGCAGAATCCGTAGTCGCCTGGCCTTCCGGATACTAGAGACTGGAGACTGGAGTTGCCTATTGCTAAGAAGATCCGTAAAGCGGATGTGGTTACGGATGGCCAACGTCATGGGCCAGCTTGGACCAGCAGCTAAAGACGCACCCATGACGCCAAGCTTGCGACAACAGAAGGCTGACATAAGGAAGGATGTTCAGCTCGGATAATCGACGGGGAGATACTCCGAATGGGTTTAACGATTTTCCGCAACCGACTCGGGACATCTGCGCCGACGGTTCCGGAAGGGTCCCCGCCTGTGGGGGGTCGACCCGGACCTGCACGCTGTGGCTCAAAGAGGAAGTTCAAGATTAAGTCAATAAGGTAGTCTTTCAGTTGCTTGCCCCGGTTTTCCAGGTACCAGCCTCGATGATCAATATTCTCTCGCCTTCTTGACGGTTGTTTCGTTCAGAGATTGGAGTCATTGCTACGAATTTGCCCAATTTCGGAAAGTGGATTGCATGCCATACGGAGGTCTCACACTTTCGGCCGGCGAGGCTGGACTAGAACTCTTAGAATGAGCAGCATGAAACACATTCAACGCTGGAATCGTTGAGCTGCTGGTCGCCAGCGAGTTTGGTACGCGAAAAAACACGGGGCAATTGACCGACGCGAGTCCTCAACAGCCCCTCTCCCCCCGGGCAACAACTCGCTTTGCCTTAGTCAGAAAACAAACTCCAAGCCGCCAACACCTGCAATGCTTGTCATCTACACCACCGAGTCTGCAATCACCAACCTCCTCCCCGTTCCGGGCCAAAAATAGCAGCCCACGAGGTGTTGGTCACCTCGCTACGCTTGTTGTCTTGCCCCTTTTTTCTCTTCTAGCGGTTCTTGATACCGTGCCCTGCCAATCTTTCAAGATACTCTTCCAATAACCCGTCGTATATTCCCATTGTCCCTCAATTAGTGAATGTAGCTTGTCCAATTCTTCAGTCGCAAAGATGCCGCCGAGTCCCCCAAGAGATCCTCTCGCCCATCCGGCGCACAACTTGTCGCAAGCCAAAACCACAGAATTGCTCCCACCACCGTCTCCGCGTACCCATCGCCTTCGCAAACTGCAATCCGCACATAACCTTGGCTCCAAGGCTGCTCTTCAGCTTCAACCCCTTCATCAACCTTCCTTGATCTCGCAGCAACGCTTGACACAAATCACGCAACGAAATATCTCTCCTACGCGACGCGACCCGAGCTCTTCTTCCAACGTGGCGCGACACACTCGAGGACGATCCAATAGCGATGCGCCGGCGCCTGTTATCCATCATATAAATGCGCTGGCTACGGGCAAGCGCAGCATGATGGGCATCAGCCCCAAGTACGCGACTATGTCTCTCCAACAACTTATTAAAGAGGGTCCCCCCGAAGGAGAGACAATTGAGGCTTTAGGTATGGCTCGTCGCAAAATCTTGAGCGAGGGCATCAAGAGTGATAGCGACGGCATGGTAAACATTACCCTTCATGCCCGTCAAGCATATACACCAATGCTGACTTATTACCACGCAGTCAACCTTACGTATATACGTCTGGCTCATCCTGCTAGATACTCCCGTTCTCCCGACCGATGACTACTTGGGCCTAATTCACCGCGGAGCCTCCCCAGCCTACTCCAAGATTCGCAACGATACCTTTCGAACCCTTACGACTGATCCTTTGTTCAGGCGACGTGTGAGCGAGGCCAGCCTGATTCGCCTCCTCAACGCCGTGGCCTGGCGTCTACACGATGTGCGGGAGGAGCAGCGCAGGGAGCGACCCAGCACTGGAAGAAGCTCCATATCGCAGGACAGCTCGACATCGACGTCGACAGCCACAGCGTACTCGCAAGATCCCGCTTTTTCGCCGGGTGCCAGAAACCGTGCCAGGGCCCTCACCTTGACCACAGAAGGCTCCGAATCCAGCCATGCTGCGGAGCCCGGAACATACGTGCAAGGAATGAACGTGCTGGCCGCGCCTTTTCTATACGCAGCAAGGAGCGAATCCGAGGCCTTCATCGCGTTCTACACACTCCTCACGCGCGAATGCCCCGGCTACATCCGCGGCGCTATGGACGGCGTACACAAGGGTCTGGCGCTGGTCGACAAGGTCCTTGCCACGGTCGACTCGAAGTTAAGCGGCTACTTGCACTCCAAAGGTCTCACGGCTGAGATCTACGCTTTCCCCTCGGTTCTGACGCTATGTGCCTGTACGCCTCCGCTTCCCGAAGTCCTCAGATTGTGGGACTTTCTCTTCGCCTACGGGCCCCATCTGAATATTCTCTGTATTGTAGCCCAGCTGATGGGCATGCGGGATCAGCTCATGAGCTCTCCGAGGTATGTTTTCCGCGTCCTCTAGACTTGAGTTGTACATGCTAACAATCTATCAGCCCTAATAAGCTGCTGCGTTCATTCCCTTCGCTGCAAGCCGATAAGGTAATTGAGCGTACGCTGTGGATCATAGAAAGAATCCCAGACGACACCTACGTGGCTATAGTTGCGCACGCCCACTGAATGCATGGATATTATGAATAATGGTAGACAAGAAGAGCACGAAGAACACCGCCTCACGGGAAGGTGGCGAGGACTCAACAAAAGGAAGGGGCGATGTCTGATGAATGTTTGAACGTTGAACGACGTGTACTTGTACGATGAGAAGACTTTTAATGACTTGACGATTGAAACAAAAACATGGGAAACGAGATGGGAACATCATGATAGAGCGCCATAGGGGGTGGTAAACGGTCAAGGATGGCATAGCTCCATGAGATATACGGGGGAAAGAACAGTACACTCGCATTGGGTTGGGAAATTAATTGCAACTTATCGTTATAATTCTTATAACTTGCCGTCTATCTTACTGTGAGACGAATATGTTGTCACCTAAATCTAGTACCCAGTCTTCCTCTGGTGCCCCTCCCTGTGGCGGGGAGCGATTCCGTGCTTGTAGAGAGAATATCAAGGTCTCTTGCCCACTTTGGTATCATCCACCTCGGTACACTTGAGTCCAAACCTGAGGTGCTGTTTGTTCTATACTCTCATGGCATGACCTCTCGATTAGGGCGAGTAGACTTGAGTTTGGGCTGAGAGAATCTAGCTGATAGAGCGGAGTGGAGTTGACAACCCAGTGTATGTGAGGGCTGGAGGGGGATGGAGGCAGGGAGAGAGTGAGGGTAAAGGCCAGCTCGCAATGAAGTATCACAGAAACGTCGACTCTGTGTAGATGACTTGATGTTGAGGCCTATCCACACGAAGTTGCGGTTAGCCCTCCCTCCCATTCTCAGCAGTCTGGTCAAGGAGGCACAGGTGGACTCGTCATCGGTATCGTGGCCGATATAGCATGGCAATAGAGCAAGTCAGCAATATCCTCCAGCACAACAAGTGGATTGTAAAGAATCTGCAAGTTGGCACCTTAAAACTCAACGAGCCTGGCATATGCCGATTGAAGTCCTTCGCCTGCTATGTGTCCATTTGCCTCCGCCTGTTCTTCGTCGAATCCGTAGACAGCAGTTACGGCAGTTGCTCAGTCTGTGTTTCACTGATAACTCCACTCAGTGGCGCGTCCAGACAAGCGCTCTATGCCTAACTTATTGATGTGAGTCTGGTCCAAGTTGTGGGAAGATAATGCTTTGCACAACTGCTTGAAAGCTCAAACGTTGTTTAGGCAGATGTTAATTGCCAACCATCAGAGTACACAAGCAAAAGAGAGTATTCTGTGAACAAGTATGGTAAGGGATTGTAAGACATCGAAGTTCTAGTACTTACTCGTGATGACACTGTTGAGAGCACAAAATACTTCTCACATATGACCGTCACGGCGGAACAGGTTTTATGAACCTTGTGTGGAACTATGACCTTGGAAAATGTACTCATTTCCAGGAAAAGTTTCTAGAGTCCTCTTATTTTCACAACAACGCAACAAAGCGAAGACCCCATTGACAAAGTTAGCCTATCATTTGGTAAGATGTCTGACTGAAATAACTGATAGATGCACCACTTGGGGCAGCCTATCAAGGACTTTCAGCAACTGGCAAATCATACTCAAGTCTTTCTCAAGCGCTATACTGTCAAGTTACCCTGGCCTGGCAATAGGGCTTCCACATTCGACTCGAAACGAAAGCCTGGAGTCGAGGTAGCCTTGTAGAATTTGCAGAGTAGTAAATTTGAAATAGTAAAGTAATTCCCGTGGGCTGAGTACACTTGCTCAGGGTTTCAAATACCAGGATTGATTCCTAAAATCACTACTTTAACCAAGGGCATCTACGTTGACAAATGTTTCCGTTCAACTACTTGAGCACACGTCAAGTTAAAATTGTAACTTTTGTCGAACATGACTTCGGCGGCCAACTCAGACATTGTGACTACGCAAGCCACGCACGCACGTCATTTACCCAGAAAGCCTTCCTAGTTTACCAGAGATAACATCTCGCCATGTTCCAAGTCAGCCGCGACTGGGTTCTGCTCTTGTCCAGAATTCATACAGATGTTGATGCTAGGCTGCGATCCCTTCCGGAACCTGAGAGGCACACAAGGCTTCCATGAATATATTGAAGAGGCTTCAGTGCCGTTGAGGCTACTTTGCACACCTTCTTCGTCATCTTCTCGCGAAACGTGCAATAAAGGTGATGGGACGGGCACTCCCAGCAGAAGTGTAAGAGCCTAAGCACTTCTTCCAACGAGGCAGCTCCAGAAGGGAGTGCGGGCCGATGCTCACTTCTCCCTTATGCGTAGACTCACAATCAGAGGTAGGAACTCACTCGACATGAGCAATAGCTTGATTTCCAGGCAAGTCAAGTCTCACCAACCTAGGTGGGTGGCAATTGAGTCGGCTACAATACGAACTTAGGTTGTAACTAACCTTGAGCGGCTCTCTTATCCGCCACTGCTACCCTAGAGGTATTTCCACCTTCTTTACCAGGATGCAAGTCCGCACACCAGGTGTTCTTTTCAGCCTACCTAGCTGTCTCAACCCAAGATTTAGAGTAGACTCTGCG